TGAAAACACAGACAAAAAATAAATGGGAAAATTATTCGAGAAGTGGCACGGAATAAATGTCACGTGTTTTTGAAAATTTCGTCGGCTCCGGCAAGTGTCCCAAAATGTCACCCCACACATAAAATATTTCGTCTTCCCTTGCTGGCCACTTCCAAAGCCTTCCACTTTTTTGCATTGCTTTTATTGTAGCCCCGTTTTCATGTATTTTTGTAATTTTTCCTGGGTATGACAAACCATTGTAAATTGCAACTACAAATTCCCCTACTTCTTTTCTGATGGGCTCAAAAGCTCTATGACCCTCGCCATCACTGCATAACTCTTCTTCCCCCCTGACGATGATGGAAGTGGAGGACATTCATCAGAATCAGATGAGGTGTCATCGTCAATTTTTTTTAGTGAAAAGATTTGTCTCACTGTTTTCTTGGTAGGCCTATTTTCTTTAATCTTCCTTTTCATTTCTATCTCTGCTATCTTCGCCAACTTTTTATTTGATTGTTCTTCGATGGTTGCTTTTTCCGGAGTATCGGTTAGGATGCGAGTACGTCCTCGCTTTCTCCCGCGCGACGACTGCGAGCGTGGACCTGCCTTGGGGTAGGGCATGATGTCCTGTGGTGAAAAGTGCATCGGCACTGATCCTCCAAGTGAGGATGGGGAAGCGCGTTCACTCACACTGCTGCTTTGTACGGGCTCCTCAAGTGGAGAAGGGAGAGGGCAGTCCGACGCTATCACACTTCTCTGTGTTGGTTCTTCAAGTTGAGAAGGGGGAGGGCGGTCCGTAACTAAACTGGTCATGAACTCACTCTCCGTGAAAATGTCGGCATTTATGGGCCATATTCCAGCCGCCCTGAAGCCACTAAATATATTGGTAGGCACCATAGCCCTTGGGAAAGCTTCCCCTAATAGTTCCGAAACGTCGTAGATTGTGATTGTTCTCCCGGGGTGTCTCAGCATAAAATTTGATGCTGCCTGAGAATAAAAGGTTTTTAAGGGGCCAAAAACAGTCCTGTCTAATGGCTGCAGCTTGTGGGATGTGTGTGGTGGAATTGTGAGAAGAACGATTCCGTTGTCTTTTGCGTAGTTGAGGGCGTCGAAAGAACAATGACTCTCGTGATTGTCCATGATGATGAGGTGTTTCCTATCAGCGTTGGGTTGAACATGACGAACAAAATGCTTGAGGAATTTTATAAAACTGTCGCCCGTCATCCATCCACTAGAATGAGTAGTTGCATCGCTGCTAGGAGGGGCATGATTGAGGAACCTATCCTGCCAGTTTTTTCGGGGGAATATCATGTATGGCGGGATGTGGCCCCCGGCAGCGTTGATACAGGCACAAACGGTAACCAGCTCACCTCGTTCGGTCGATGTCATTTTTCCTACTTGTTTGGAACCCTTAACTGCAATAATTTTGCTGGGTTTATGGACAGTTGTTACCCCTGTTTCGTCAATATTCCACACCCTTTCGGCAGTAAATTCGTGCTTATTAAAAACTGCAGTCAAATTTCCAAAAAATTCCGCCACGGTGTGTTTATTAAACGCTGTCGCTCGCGCCAAGCTGGTAGGCTCTGGAGTTCTTAAGGATAGAGTTTGCTGTCTCTCCAAAAATCCACGATACCAATCGCGACCCGCCTGTTGCGAGTGATCCCATGAAGAGGGGTATTTCATCTTATTTGCTTTGGCGAATTGGTAAGCTACCTTACGCAATTGTACAACGGTAAGTCCATAATACATTTTAGACATATGAACAAGATACGCTCCTAGCTCATCCTCGTGACGTTTGGACAAAATTTGTCTATTGGTAAAACCAGGTTGAACATAAGAGTCTCGACGGCATAGCCTTTTAAGTGTCATGACATTAATTTTAAATTCTCTTGCGACGGTTTTGTAAGCAGCTCCATCTTTAACTGCTTGGACCGCATTTTTCAAGGCCTCCGGGTCGTAAGGTACCCTCTTCATGGCTCCTTGCTTCGATACGTACTTCCGCGGCATCTAAAAGAACGGAAGTTATGAGATTTACTTCTTGACCCAAACAAAAGAATTATAGGTGGGATACTTGACTCCGGGATCAAGCATCCCCCTAGCAAAAGGGATCAACTATCCCGAAGCAGTAACTTTATTTAAAATGAAAAAAAAAAACAGTAAAATTGTAAAGTACACGTACCTGAAGTTTTTCGAATTGTCGTACACTAAACAAAACAAGTAAGATCCGGTAAATTCCAATTATTTTGGCAACGAGCTGTTGTTTCGGTTTAATGTTTACTATTTGTACTTGCCATCATGGCGGCGTCCCAATGCAGCCAACAGAACACCTTAAAACACTTTTTGGCGCTAGTTTTAAATGGGGGATCATGTATCCTCGGGGATCAAGTATACCACCTCTCCCATATATATATATATATATATATAATTTTATATTATTCTAAGCTCTTACTTAGAATAATATAAGAAAAAAACAGCTGCCAGTGACCGTAGGCGTCTGGTCTAGCTACATGGACCTCTCTGTTTTATGGAGGATTTGCCTTAATCTTCACGCTAATTTTTACTATTATAGCAAATACCTAAGCTCACGATGTTTGCTATCGTTTTATTTCCACTAAAACTTAAAGACTATAAATAAGTTAAAGTAGGGGAAGGACGGGAGTTTCACATTTATTTCTTTCAGAATTTTTAGTCCATTCCTTACTGAGAAATAGAGTCCGAAAAGTATGTTCGTTTCTACTTTGACAGCAATATTGACCATAAATATACGTTATAACGTATATTGAGTATAAATTGTTATTCGATTTTAATGCACTGTGATTTTGGCTTAGACCAGTTAAAATGAAAATACGAGGGCGGTACTGAAAATTTCGGGAATCAAGGAAGTGACACAACATTACTGTTTAAAAATGTATTTATTGCTTTTCGAATTATTCTCCGCGAAATTTGACACATTTTTCCATACGATGGAACCAACCATTGAAGCAACAATTCCATTCCGAAGTTGGGGTCTCAAAAATGGCCGTTTTGTAGGCGTCCACAGCTTCTTCAGGTGATGAAAATCTCTGTCCACGCAATTTATTCTTTATTTTAGGGAAAGTATAGAAATCATCAGGGCTTAGGTTGGGGCTGTACGGCGGATGGTCTAATAATTCTATGTTTTCTTGCTCTAAAAACTCTTTTGTTCTATGTGCGGTGTGAGAACTCGCATTGTCGTGATGGAGGATGATGCGGCGGTTGCAGTTCTCTTTACGGAGTTCAGAAACGACCTGTGGCAAACAAATGCTAGCATACCATTCTGCATTAACCGTTCTTTGTCCCTCAAGAGGAATAGTCGTAACATGGCCGGTTTTGGAGACAAACGTGGCCACCATTTTTTTTGTAACACTCCGTGAACGAACAATTTTTGTTGGCTTTAACTCATTTTCGAACACCCAAACTCGTGACTGGTTTTCTGTTTCGGGTTCGTACGCGTATATCCAGAATTCGTCACCTGATACGATGTTGTATACAGCATTTGAGGATTGAGAATCCTGCGTGGAATCTTTCGAGAGTTCTGACGCACCAAGAAACGCGAGCCGCTTTTTGCTCTTCACAGAGCGAATGCGGTATTCATTGGGAAAACAACTTTTTTACACCTAATTGTTCATGCAAGATTATTTGTATTTGATTCATGCCAATGTCTAAAGTTGCCTGAATTTCGCGGTATGTCACATGTCGATCTTCCTCAATCAGCTTACGCACAACATCGTTTTCTTGGGTGACTGCAGTTTTTGGACGACCTTGACGGGGATCATCACTGAGCTTGACACGTCCACGTTGAAATTCAGCAAACCAGCGATAAATTGCGGTTTTGGATGGGGCTTCATCACCAAATGCAGAAATCATCCGGTCAACACACTGTTTTTGTGTTAAACCACTTCGAAAGTCATAATAAATCATCGCTCTTGAATTTTCTCGAGTCATTTCCATTTTCTCAACGACTAAACAAGTTTGACAAAACCTTGTGACAAGACCGAGAATCTTTTTTTAAATAAATAAATGGTATTCAATTTTAAAAAACCAAGGAGTTTTCAATTAAAAAGATTTTAATATGACAGGAACAGTGGAAATATTCCATTTCCGATACTTTTAGTGCAGCCTATGTATAGAAATAAAAATGTCTTCTTACTAAGCCGGAAATAATATAGTGCTGGAAATGGAACTCGCGTATAAAAGTAAAATAACAGCCGACGGCATTACATACGTCCCACAGCTGGGCGTAAACCTTTCATAATTATGAGGGTTCTATAGCAGGGAAGAGTACACCGCGTTACCTCAATGCGTGTTGAAGACTCACGTTTTTAATATTTTTGTTAATATCTCAGATATTCCCAAATCGCAATTAAAGTGAACGGCAATATTATAATGAAACCTGTATTATAAAATGTGAAGAGCCCCATCTCGAACGGGGCAACGTAGCGGATTTTTTCCTGGTTTAATATCCCCTCAGAAATGAGAGTGGGGCTGTGCTTAACAGTGGGGTTTTTGGTTGTTATGCTTACATTTTAAGTGATGAATTAGAAACAGTCCTGTGAAGTTATTAATTTTTGCACTGATAACCTGATTTATGTTACCAATTACTGACGAATAACTATTGTCCTCGACTCATTTTATGAACTGCATAATTATGTATATTCTTGCGAACAAATTTTCAACGTGATCTTGTTACTGATAAGCAAATACATAATCAATGATCATACATTACCGTAACTTACTGTAACTGTTTATTAAAGTCCACTGCTGAACATAGGCCTTCCCCATAGATATCCTTATAGAGGGGATGTTTGCCATAGTTGTCATGTTTGGCAAGGGGGTTGGCAATCGCAGTTTTTTTTATTTAGTCGTTTTTAGCTTTCGCTGATGTCCATCTTCTGATTTGTTGTTCTTTGTCTCTTTCTGAGTAGTGGATATTCTTACACCGCCACCACACGGTGAGATCATAATTAGTTTGAATATAAATAAGTGTGTTGTGGTGTTGTCAGACGTGGGAGTGTTCCCGAGCGGCAGCGCGTCGCGGGGCGCGGCGTGGGGCGCGGTGTGCAGCGCGTCCAGCACGGGCGTGCGCGCCGCGCTGCACGCGCCCGCCTCGCTGCTGCACGCGCCGCTCGCCACCGCACACGCCACCTTCACACCTCACTGGCCCTCCGTGCTCATCTCCACCGACGAGGCCATCTGTAATAACCTACCTTCAATTCCTTTTCATTTGTTCTTTTGTATTTACTATTTACCAATTTATTTATTTTTTGATTTTTTAATTAGGTATCCACTTCAATCTATCACTTTTAAAGCATGGTAATAAAATAAAAAAAATATTCAAGTATGGTGGTAAGAAAATGCATCCATCACCCTATTTGATCCCATGCGTATTAAGTGGCGATTTTGAGAAATCTAAGGAAGATCTTATCGCTTACGATAAGTAGATAGCGGTATAACCAACCTATTAAACTATCCAGACTTGAAATATTTTAACCTGTGACTGCAATCGCCAAACGGCCTGCCTAGCGTGACGATCATGGCAAAACTTTCTCACAATGGGCGCGGTCACTTGTAAACTTTTAAAGGCTGATAAAGAAGTAAAATAAATGAAAAAAAAAATGGTTCTTTATCATCGGCCGGAAAATGCCCGCTGTTGGAAATGGGCTTAATTGATAACCAGCTTTCCTGCCTGTTGATGGATTGCTGACTGTAGTATCACAAACGCAAGAAGTCTCGCATTTTTGTTGCCGCTTCCCACAATCCCCAACGTATTATAGACTACATTTTATTAAAATTATATCAATACGAAATTAAAAAAATTTAATATAGTACACAGCACAATTGTAAGACCTTACATTTGTGATATGCCTTTGATTTACAGCGATGCCGCCGCCCGCGTAGGTATTTACGCAGCCAACGTGTATGCCAGGGATTGTCACGAAAATGAAAATAAAATGATTTTGGATATTATAATACTCATTATCATTTATTAACATTATGTACATACTTATAAGTTAAAAACACATTTATTGAAAAAGATAATTTTTATTACTACAAGAAAAACAAATTAACCAGTTTTGCACTGTGAAATATTCAATCCAATATTTTCGTGGCACTTTCTTTTTATAAATGTTTTCAGTTTCGATTATTAAATTTAATTATATGTAGTGTATTCGCATTCGGATAAAATTTATCAACAAAAAAAAATGAGGAAAACATATGCATGGCCGTCATTTGACAACAGTAATTCACTATTATAGATATTATATTTTTCGAAAGCGGCACTTACAATCAGTTAAATAACTATTATAAAACACCCTCGCGTCAACCGCATATATTGTCTGTCACAAGGTCGGCCCGCCCTCTGTCTCGCAGTACCCTCACTGTTGCTCTGCACAAGTACATTCATTTCCCAACTGCAAGGTCTTTAAACTGTAATAGTGCTTTATTTAGGAGCATTCTGAGAACTTGACATTTTATTTTTTAAATACACTGCAGTAGTATACCTTGTTTTTAATAATTTAATCATCTCTATTTGGAAATATTTTGTGGGTTTAGTATTTTAAGATAATATTTAAGATTATAATAAAATTATTGAGTTTGCATGTCTATCTGACAGTGAGCCATTATTGTATCTCATGAATATTTGGGAGCATCAAAAATAAGAAATGGCTCGTAGACATAAAATATACTTAACATAGAGTCAATTTTATTTCTAAATTTCATTATTAATAATTATTTTAAATCATACTATATTATGATCCGCTAATTAAGGCAGGCAAAGGTCTTACACTATACAGCCTAGTCTAATTAGTATTTTCTTCACAAAGCTCTTGATGCTGATGCGTCACATTTCAATGTTATTGGGAGATGTTGATGATAGCTTAATTCAGTGGACAGTTGATGAGGATAATATCTTTAGGCCCTTAAGCTGATAAAAAACCTGAGATTTATATCTCGTATCGCAGCACCTGGCTGCTTCGTTTCCACTAATAGTAAACATGAACGTCGCAACTTATCACACCTCTTTTACACATCAAAATCCACTTTAAACCGTAAACGATATAACAGCAATTCCTGTTAAGACTCGTCATCGATACAGTTTTCATAGTTGTGTGGTATGTATATAGCAATGTATGTGTCTGTGAGCGCAGCGCACCACACGCTGAACGAGCTGGAGTGGCTGGGCGGCGGGCGGCGGCTGGGCGCGGCGCGCGCGCTGGCCACGTGCGCGCGCTGCGGGCTCGCCGCCGCCTACGCGCCGCCCGCGCTGCGCGCCCTGCGCACGCACCCGGCCTACGCGGACCCGCGCAGAGACGTACGTACTCACTGCCCTCTACACCGATGCTTTTCAACCTTATGGCACCTGACGTGGACCGACTTTTTTGGAGAAGATGGTTGGTTTATTTATTTATTTCAAAAGTCCACTTGTATACGTAAGCCTCCCTGTATATTGGCAATCTATTGGTGCGGCAACTTAATATAAATTAGGATATTAAGGTGATGGATTGGACGTAGGTGAGTCACTATTTTATTATATAAATCATTTTTCATGCACTTTCTGTAATATAGGACGTCAAACAAGAAAAACATAACGAATCTTTTTTTTACATACAATCAAACAAACATTATTTGCTTTAGAGCTAGCCTTTTACCACCAATAAAATTTTATAATTTTAAATTTAAATTTAGTTTTTTTTTCCCATTTTAATTAATTACAGGATTGTGTACTTATTATTATATCCTCTTAATCGTTAAATGACACACCTTTCTTCTATTTTGTAACTGGTATAAAAGCTGTTCTTTTTCCAACTTTACAGATCGTGGGTATGTTGCGTATGGCGCCGTTGGCAAAAAAGAGAAGTAAACACGTTAATGACGAACTATCGATGAAGGTGGAACCATTGACTTATGAAGATGCAGTGAAACACTATGGGATAGAATTCAAACTTAAAAATGAAATTACTAAGGTAAGATTGATTAAATAAATAAAAAATTGCATTTTGTGGATTCGTATTTGAGTAGAAATGGTGTCTAGTATATATACGAAACATAGCATTAGGCTGCTATTTTGAGCTGTTATTCAATAATTGTATATATTGTGTAGTAATCGTTTTTGATTTGCGTACGTAGTGCGACCAGAAGGTGATATTCGAGGAGTCAAAGCAGCACAACCCGGAGCGCTTCCCGCTGGCGGACGTGGCGGCGCTCGCCTTCTGCCCGGCGCGCCACCGCCACGCCGCGCTCGCGCTCGCCACGCACGCCGGCCTGCTGCTCCTGCTCCACGTCACCTGATTCTGTACCGTAGCACACCTACACACGCACCATCTTATAAATATCTACCTACATATAATACATATAATATTACTGCATCACAAATTATAACAGTGCATTCGCAGTGTACACCTGCAGGACTTCGGACACCGTGACATTTATCGGTTCCATAGGCTTATTGCAAATATCTGTATACGCATGGGCAATTCAAAAATCATTAGGCATCCGCATCATTTTTACATCTGCCTTTGATACGGAATCCGCAAAAATATAGCAAATGCAAGTTTTGTTATACAAGTCGGCGCGAGCCGATGAACTTATATACCACGATTATTTCTTATTTTAATGCGAATGCAAGACGTCTGCAACGTCACAATCTTTTTCGTTCAAGTTACCTATCTGGCACTCACTATCCCACATTTGGTTGATAAATTGTTTTAAAAGTACCTGAAATTAATAATCTATTGATAAACGAAATAAACATTCAAAATTAGTGCTCTGGCTGCAGAGCATAGTCGCCTGTATAGTTAACTGTTATGTGGATTATGTAGACTTACTTAACTATAACTACTTATTTAACTTTGTATATTATACAGGATATTTTGAAGATGCGTCCAAAGCCTGAAGGGGATGATAGCTTAAACCATTTAGAACATATTATGTTCAACTTGTCTTAGACAAAGTTTGCTCCTTTTTTTAAATTTAATTTTTAAGATTTTTAACAATAAACTTATTTTTTTCAATTAGTTGCCTTATTATTAGTTATAATAGTGTCCAGTAAAAGTTGATATGTTAACACATAACAATTGTTATACAATCAACGTTCGGCCGATTACTCTTGCCCACAAGTTTACTGAAAATTTCCTTTGAACGACACTTGCTTCTTCCAGTGTGGATTGCTGCCCTTGCCAGCACGTCGATGGAGGTTATGAAAGCATTATAAATTCCTTTTATAAATTCCTTTTTCGAAAACTGACTCATCCGTCCACAAGATGGATTTTAGAAACCATTCATCTTCAATGTCGCTATTTAGCAAAAAGCGACAGGACCGGATTATTTCATTTTTCAAACCTTGTACACCCATGACGTAAAAAGGATACTTGTTTTCTCGGTGCATCGTATTCTATACCTTCCATACCGAAATGTTGAGGTTTTGAACTACTGCTCTGACGCTCGTAGTAGGATCTGCATCGAAAGCTACAATAATGTCTTCCTTGACATTTGGGCTATATCTTCCCAGATTGACTCCGGGTTTCGCGTGAAGGATTCCAGCTTTAGAAAGCCAACGAAATGTGCTCTAAAACACTGACATTTGGTAATTTTCGATTCGGATATAGCTTTTGGTACATCCGCCGTGCCAAAGATCTATTACCGTCAGCTCTGTCTTACATGAAGACGATATCAATAAATATCCTTCATTAGTAAAAGAAGTCGAAGAACAGTGAAAGAACACACTGCTAGGGCTAGACTCAATTCAAAATGAACATTTTATAAAAATAAAAATATTCGTCCGCAATTTGCTTTCTACACGCTAATTCCAAGAGTTCATGAGACATCTGCGTAAATAATACCTCAAAAGAAAGGGCAATAACCCAGCATGTTTTAAAACGGTTTGAAAAACAAAGGCATTTTTTTTATAATGGCATAAACACAACATTTACTTTTTTTTTTATTCTCAAACTTAAATATACGTGGAATGTTTTTCTGATGATGAAGATACTTGGAGATTATAAAAAATAATATCAACAATTTTTACTGGACACTAATTACCAAATAATTAAAAAAATGGGTTTTATTGTTAAAAACCTTATAAATTCAATTAAAAAAAAAGGAGCAGACTTCGTCTAAGACAAGTTTAGCTTAATATGTTCTAAATGGTTTAAGGTATCATCCCCTTCAGGCTTTGCACCCATCTTCCAAACGTGCTGTATTATCATGTCGAGATGTTGCATATATATAATTGTATTTTTATCTATATGGATTCATCTCTTTAAATTTTTTTGTTTAGTCTCTTATAAAATCACTTTTTTATCAATTTAAATTACATATAAAATGTAATTAATACCTTCTAGTTTTTGTCGAACATAGGAATTATGACAGTATACAAACGACGTAAGGAATTTACAATTGTATAATATTCTATAAGTATTTCATTATTTTTGACGGAAACATCAAATTATAGATGGATGTTTTCCGTTAGAAATTAAATTTTAACATGCCAGCAAAAATCATGGTAATTATTGAGTTAATTAACAGTTCATTAAAGGTTGTTTGGTGTTACGTACACACATTGCAAAATCATTAATTCCAATAATAATAATAAATGGATTTAAAACGATCTAATAGCTTACATCCGAATAAATAACAACTGTTTTCCAAATTATACACAATTTGAATTAAATCATTCTTCTTATTATCAGCTCGTAAACTATCTAGTGCTGGATATGAATCTCCCGTTGCAGGTAGTATTTGCAGTAAGTGCTTTAATTATTTAATTTGTTATTGTTGTGATAATCTTCCGCACCATTTATGCTGCATCCTGTCACCAATGTATTTTACAAAATGTAGTATGAATAAATGAAAATGAAAAAGAGACTTGGTTATGGCCAATTTCTCTAAATAACTTCTTACGAATGAGTACAGGATTCTCCTATGCCCAATCAGACGGCTCATTAAAACATTTCTTTTTTTCTAATTGTACATGAACAAAATTAAAATATAAACAATTATTTTAGAGCCATACAAATATTTGTTCAGTGTTCCGCACTAACCGCAACTAAAACCATGCATGTAGCGTTACAGCCATGTTTAGCTAATACTATCACATGTATAGAAATAATTTACCTAAACAGTTAATATATGAAACATACTAGTACCAAGTATACTTTTAAATGCTTGTGTTAGGAGTGGCTCATGACAGTAGTCGAATGAAGGATTTATAATCAATCAAAAATACGTTTTTTTAACCATTTTAGAAAACCAGCGTAAAATAGCAGCTTAACGCGAATAATTTAAACACGATAACATGAAATTCTCTCGATAGAAAATAAATGTAAAGTTAGGCTCTAATTAAATACAGTAGCCACTACAATATTTTTACGAATTAGTTAATAAATAATTATATCTAAGTTTACATATACCATTTTCTTAATCCATAACGTAGTTATGTAAAAAGAAACTTGTTTGGCCCTTACGTATGTTATTTCCGAGCGTGTGTTCGGTATAGCTATCTCATAATTTGCGTACATGAAATAATTGCACCATTTTCATTTTGACACTCCCTCAGTCATACGTGAACTTCATCGACGACGGGCTAAGTCACGCCCCCAAAGCTACGATTAATTTTCTAGGTATCCTCTTATCTAACGAAATTCCCATGAATAAAATAGCGGTATTACCATCTCGTTTATACCACACGCAACTAATCCAAATCGACGACGGGGGCGTCACAGATATGAGACGTCTGGTGATGAAAAACTTGACGATTCCTACAAATCGTCCCTACAACGCGAGATGAGAGAGACCCATGTCCAGCACTGAAATTTTACGGGCCGATGAAGAACTGAAGAAAGTAATATAACAATCCTAAAATAATTCAAAAAATATTTTGTGCCATGTTTTCCATTTTGCTAAAGTCCTTTCCGCTCAAAATAAAATTTGCCATTCGTAAGCACTTTTATTTCATGATGAAATTGTATTCGTAATTTTTATATTCGTCTTGAGTGACGTCCAATCTAAATTTGCGGACCGTGTCGTGTTTGTCTTATAGAAAATAGCAAATTATTTTTTTAAATAATAAATTATTAGGAAAAAACACTTTTTTTATAATAAACTTTACCCCCACACTAGGATTTTCTCCTGTGTCGTGGAGGCAATTTACAAACATAAATTGTACTAGGACAAACATTCAGACCCGGTACAATTATTTGTAGGCCATACAAATACTTGTTCCGTGCGGGATTCTAACCGGCCTTTCTTAACTTTTCAAACACCACCAAGATTTTATTAATGACAATTAGGAAAATAGAAATTTTCAACTAGTAGGGCAATAGTAAATGAGTAAAGAAACCGACCAGAGACAAAGCTTCATGAAGCTGTACTATGATGGCTCGTCTCAGTCGTCACATATAGAGAGAAAGCCGTTTATACTTTATAATTTATACTGGCTCGGCCAGTGCTCAAGCTCAGAGTGTAGGTACACTTCGTGCGCTTTACGTAATACTATACGTAAATACTCGATTTTATTTTATTTTCATTATGGTTCCTTGGCTTGTTAATGGAACATGGCGTTTTAAATATAGCGATTATGATGACGTGGATTAAAAAAAATATTGCAAAATTTAAAGTTATATTATTATTTTGGGTTACTGAAGGAATTTTTTTGTCCCCGCTAATATCGCCTAATTCTATATATTCAAACTTTATCGTAATTCTATTGTTTTTTTTTAATATATAGAAAAAACAAACGATTTCGTGTTTCCCTAAGCAATCTTAGGAGCGAATATGAAGTAGCACATCTTTATTGACTAGCGTTTGTACATGCGTGAATGTCTTAGAAAACCAAACAGCCCGGCCAAGATAGAACGCGCGGACCGTAATAGCATGTATATAATATTTATATTTTATATATAAAAATAAAATATCACTTTAGTGATTTCCTTTGTAACATAATATGTATAAAATGTACAGTATTGTAGTTTTTCAAAATATGTAAATATTTGTTTTGGTATGTATCTAGAAGGGAGGGCGACTCAACCGTTGTAATATCAATTTAATTCTACTCTAAATTGATTATTTATTTAAAATTGTTAAGTTGACGAAAAAGATCTCGTGTCATGTGTTGTCAACAATTTTGCAAATTATTAAAAAGTGTTCAGTTATGTTTGTGATGCTGGCACTATAATTCTTTTAATAATTATATCATATTATAAAGAGGTAAAGTTTGTAAGTTTGTTTGTAGGAAGTAATGTCTGGAACAACTGAACTGATTTTAAAAATTATTTCAACAGTAGAAAGCTACA